GTAGGCTGGTCCAGACACGAGGATGTGGAATTCATTCAATATTTCTTCCCAGGCTAATCCATAGTGTTGTTGGAAATATTCAAGCCTATATATAAAGTCTTCTACGGATAGGGTGTTGGGTTTTCCGGAAAAATTTAGGCCGAAGCGTTCTACTCTAATGCCTTGCGTACCATTCGCACTTATAGACGGGGTTACTGTATTTCTACGATTTAACCCTGCCGCCGATGTCTCTCTGTTTGGTGGTGGAATAGTTGGTTGAAAGTTACTTGGCTGAGGGTTTGGGGGGGTGTTACGTCCTTCGATTGACAACCTGGCTACCGTTTCATTCAATTTATTTATGACCGCATATACCTTTCCCATTTCCCTACTGACGCTTTCTGATACTAATGTGGTCAGATTCAATCTGGCCTCATTAATACTTTCTTGTACCATCCCTCTAACGACTTGGTCTACATGATAAGACTGTTGTGTTTGAACTTCGGGTAGAGGATTACTTTGTTGCAACCGAGCATTGGCGCTGGTGCTAGCAGTTGGGTTATTTATGGTTCCCGACAAATCCCTTATTGTCGAGTCCCTATTTGTGTCTGGATTATCCATTCTATTTCCTACTCCCTTCTTTTTGTATTTGGGTTTCGGTGAGTGAAATGAGGTTCTACTTAGGTCAAAGGCTAAGGATCTATTTCTTTTACTGCGTCTTTTTCCTGAAACGTTTTCGCTCATTGAAAAAGTAAATAATGTGAAATGTGTGGAATTTGTATATCGAATTTTGTTTAATAAAAATCTTGGCAGAATAATAAAATCTTATAACGTACGCTTACAAATATTAAATATAAATTAGTTTATTAGATTAAATTTGTTAGTCTACTTTATAAAATTGTTAAAAAAAACGTTAAATTAATTGACAACATAGAAAACATACAAAGTACCTATTATTTTAGACACTAGACACAATATTATAAACGATTAATTTATTCAGTATTAGAGAGGGGCTTGAGTGCTTTTTCAGCTATCATGAGATAAGTGTGTGGATTTTGTTCTTTTTCTTATTTTTAACAATATTATGTGTCCTGATTTGGTTGTTGATGTGTATTGTAGGACGAGACTAAACATATAAATTTTCAATAAAATTTTAAACGGCGAAAACCGCGCATTTACTTCGCAATTTTGGCAAAATAAAAGATCTGCGGAAGGATATTATGAAGCAAAGCAGTTCGCAGCATTTAGGCCACGAAAGACATAGTTTTCATTATCAATTTTCACCATTTTAAAACTTTACTTGGACATAAAACAAAACATAAATTCTGGTGAGGTCAACATCACGGCAGTTTTTGAGACATAAACGTTACAAAAAAAGATCTCGTGAACAGGGTTTCAGAATCAATGCTGACTGTGATTTTCGTCTTCTCAGTCGCTATTGCACTTATCCCTTTGCTAACCTAACTATTGAATCTACTCTAACAAACACAAAAATTAACTGGTCATATAGACAATACATACATTGTTACATTACACGAACAAAGTTATTGCACCTGACCCTATAATTGGAACGAAAATCCTACTTTTCTCTTAAATCTATTCTAAATATTGCACATTATCCCGAATTAATACTAAAAACGAGTTGGCAATATAAGATAGTTTTAAAGAAAAGGCGATATTTCGTTTTGTTTTTACTGCATGGTATTTGGTCTATTGCTTTGAGCATAGCTGTTATCGCTCTGATTTTCTTAATTTATTGATTTTTTTTATTTGGGCGCCATACTGTTATGTACCACCTACTGTGGCGCTGTGGTTTTAAGGCCAGCTAGCTCAGCAGCCATCTTTGGGGAGGTTCTCAACCCTTATCCATCAGCCCGAGGGGACAAACAAGTAAATATTTGGAACTGATACACAAAACATAGAAACACTACACTTACAAAAAAAGAAACACGATACACCATCAACAAGGAAGCTTGGTGTTTCTGCTTCCACACAGGGCCCACCCAACCTTGACCCTTAAAATCCAAAATTTATATCATTCATAAGGGCCCCTGATCCTCCACACTTACCACATGATGACTTGCACTAATTTCCCCCTCTTTCTAATAAATTTAGCACTTCACTTTTAAACTCTTAACATTCACGTTACATTTATTAACATAGTTGACTTAACACTAGAAAGACGGGAATTTTGTATATACCTATATTGCCTAAAATCGGTCAAAATGACTTCATTCTGAAAAAAATTTTATTTTGTAAAGAAAATTTTTTAAACTTATTTATTAATATTTTTTACATTATTTACAATCATACAAAACGTTGTTATTATTTGTTTTATGGGGGAGGGCTCTCGAGTTTCCCTTTATGAAAAATAAGAACGCGGACAAAATATTAAAAAAAGAGGAAGTCTTTACTCTAAGAGTGAAATCGACTGGAAATATAAAATTTTTTTTTCCCGATTTGTGTGTTCGTTTTTGTTTCTAGAGTATCAAAGGGTGTTCGATGTTGTTGTAGTGATCTTGTCATATAAGAAATTTATTTTATACAATAATAAAAGTAGTTTGATTATTTAATATTTCACAAAAAGTCAAAATGACCGCTTTTAGGCTATATAGGTATAGCACATGTGAATACGGGGAATGAAAGAGGGGAGGAAGCAGCTACTATGATTAATAAACGTAGTTCTATGTGGTACAAAAAGTCACCAAATTTTAAAAAGCTGGGTCATAATATACACAATTGTTTTTGTACTTGAAATTGAAAAAACGTCAAAATGACTGCCTTCGGCTATCTAGTGTTAAAATTCTAACAAAAAAAGAAAACAATCAAACATAAACCTTAGATTACTAACACTAATTTCATGAGACAATTCTCTCAGATTACCCTGATTTTACCTCTTAGTTTCACCTATTGGCAATTAGACTATTTATTACACCCTGCCTAAGAGAGCTCCGTTAGTGGGATTATTATCTGACTTTAATTACAGCCTTTTTTGTACACTTTAAACTTTTGGGTATTTTAGGGCAACCCTACTCTCACGCTTTTTTTAGCATTAATAATCCTTACAATATAAAAATTGAACACATACAAACAATACAACACAACTTAAACTAAACACTTAAAATATTCATAGTAAAATTAAATTTTTATAATAGTTTTATATATAGAAATTTTAAATATAAAAAAATTAACTCATTTTCTTTATATCTTTCAGGTAAAACCGGCGTTTTTGGCTTAAAAGCTGTGTTCCACACAAAAATGGACCAAATGGACTTCAAATATATATACTCTTTGTTACCTTCATCCAAGGCTTGCCTTATTTAACTAATCCCGACTCTTCTGCCTGGTGTAATGTTGGCAGTTGGTACAACAGGGGATTTTAGGCTCTTTTGTGGACCTCTTTGGCGGTATTTTGGGGATCCGGCAATTATATCCCAAAATAATTTTCACTGGCCCCCTTTTTTTGCAATGGAATGAGGAGGCCAGACATCAAATTTTTAGCAGTGTGCCTTTGGTTTTCTAAACACATAAAAGAACATAAAAAACACAACATTAACTCTACGTCCACATACGTTATCGTTGAAATTGCCACTTACGTAGATATAAACAAATTCCCGCACACACACACATACAAATAAAATTGAAATATAAAATATAAAAAAAACTTTGTTTTATTTTGTTTTTGGTAATCCTTTTGTACTTTTGGTTTTTGGTCGCTTTTTCGATTTTTAATGTGGAAGGTTATAAAACACGGTTTAGAATTGAAAGGTTTTTTTCCTTTCAGTCCCTTTTATAACCTTCTACAGACGCATAATTTTCCCTCTTTTTTTGTTTCCTTTGGTTTGCGACATTTATTATTCCTTCGTCTTTACCCCACTTAGCCAACCTACAAACCCTCCCAAGGTTGTATTTTGCGCTCCGTCTCCACTAACTACAATTCGCAGTGGCAACACCGAAACTCATCAGTTTTATCTGGCGGCCGGTATATCCGGTTCATTTTCTTTTTGCTGGCCGGTCAACAACCATCGCACAGAGATGCGGTTGGTTGTATTTCATTTATTAACATTTGTTTAATTCAGGGGCAATCGCAAATATCAGAAATGCATTAATTCATTAAAAAATATATAAAAATGTTCAAAATTTAAAAAATTTACATCAAAAGTTATTAAAACATAAAATGACTTAAAAACAAAAATTAATATGGTGAAAAATACAGTTAATTTCGTAATCATATTAACCCATTTGAAATTTTGAGAAATCGAAGCCAAATGTTAAAAACTCCTTTTTTACTCGAGTTTAATGGGCATGTTCAAAGTTGCCCCACCCATGGCATTTTACGGAAATTTAAAATAACTTTTTTTGTAATAAATATATATGAAAGAAATTACATTAGTTATGTTTGAAATGATTGTTGGAATGCAAAAAATTTGTTTGACGAAAGAAAACTATCATAGAATTCTTCCTGCGCCCTTAAAACCAAATGAATAAAAGTTTACAATTACACTGAGAAAACATGGTCACCCATGCACAATTTTTCGACAACTGAAAAAGCAAGCCAAAGTGGTTTACGCATATAGAGAACAGGATTGCCATATACAAAAATGTGGTTGCGGGTCGGAAAAATATTAAACCAAGATTTTATGAGCGCTGTTCAAAGCTGCCCCACGTTCAAAGGTGCCCCCCTCTCCCCTATATATAGATTTACAAAATTCAGTATCAATTAAATAGCGTATGCAAATCCTCGTAATAAATCTGGTGGATTCTATATGACATTTATGCCATGAAATTAAAAATTGAAATCTCGTCGCTTTGTGTCTATATAAAATATATTTTATGGAGTTCGTCTAAACCTTGTTTATAATATTGATAAATTTCAAACAACAGGTCAGAAATCTGTTTTTAGATCCCTATTGTTTATAAACAACAAGCTGAAGGTCCTCAGACCAAATCTAAGGATTTCTTTACGATACCGCGGATTATTTTCGGAATAAAACAAACATCTATAAAAAAGCCTAAACCTCATTATGGGCGGTTGTCGTTGTTTCTTTCGTCATTGCCGAGTAAATAGCTATAAACAACCGCGAATTCATTTCTTTCACGTTCCTCTTAAGGACGCAGAACGCAGCAAGCAATGGATCGCATACGGAAAATTAGAATATATGTTGGAATATCCCGCTTCGAAACAGAAAAACGTCATCGTTTGTGCCAGGCATTTTCGGGATGAGTGCTTTATGAATTATAAAAAAGATCGTTTGTCACAAAGAGCTGTTCCGACAATTTCCCGTCTCTCCAAGGATAAGGCATTAGATTATGAGCTGGATTTGGAAAATGGTGTTCTAGTAACTCTGCCGGAAACACAAATGAAACATTTAATACCACCCGAGGGATTCGATTGTACCTTAGGTTTGGAAAACGACGAAAGCGTTTTGGAAAAGTTGAGGGAACTTGAAAACCCCGTCGATTGTGATGAAATCAAAGTCTTAAATGGAGATATGTTTGCAAAAGTAACTGAGAACGAGTTTGAGAGTAATATATCAACAAGTCCTGTAACCCTTAACCGTTCACTTATTAAGAGGCCGCTGAAAGTTGTAAGAAATGATGAAGAAGTTGAGCCCAGTTGTAGCAAGAAGATCAGAATTGATCAAGTGCCATTACCTCAGGGAACAATCATTGAACTAGAATCTCCCACAATTATTAACCATCAAATAATTGGGGCTGATGGTAATGTGTGGATTGAACATGAATCGTATAATATTGCCGAAACCAACAATGATGGGGATTTTGAATTCATTGAAGTTCAATCAAGTGATGATGAAGCTTTCAAAAATCCACAGGAATTTCAAAATATTTCTACAAATGACACAGCAGATAAAATAGTTTTAACAAATGTCTGTGGGGAGGAAGAGGCGGAAACAAACAATTCATCAGCGACTGTCAAAGCCAATGATGAAATATTTAATAATTTGCACCTGGAGTTGAATCTAATCAAAAAAGAAAATGCCACATTAAAGGAAGAACTGGAATTCTTTCGAAGAAGAAAATCGCAAACTAAAGGAGAAATACGAACAAGAAATTGAAAATAAAAACGCTAGATATTGCGATGAAATCGAATCCTTAAGAACTAATTTAGATTTTATGGAAAAAGAGAATGCAAAGAACAAAAAGAAAATAGAAAATATTCAAAAGTTATCTCAAGTCTCGGCGGGAAAACTAAAAGAACAATATGAACAACAAATGGAAAATGAAAGAGCTAAATATGTATCAAAGGAAAATAAGCTATTGGAACGTATCAAATCATTGCAGGATGATTTGGAAACGGCAAGAACTGAATTAATGGAAACTAAACATAATCTTGAAAGTGTAACAAAAGACCTGGAGAATTCACAGACTAGAAATAGGCAATTGATTGAAAAACAACTTCGAAATGAACTTTTAGAGCAAGGGTTGAAACAAAAACACGATGAGTTGGATGTAAAATATCAACTTTTACTAAAAAGCCATGAAGAGTTGCAAAAATTCAATATCAAACTAAAAGAGGATTGCACAAAATTGGAAAATCAATTGCAAAATCAGGTTTCAACTATTACCACTACAGATTCACAGCCGCCCGCAGTGGCTAAACCACCAACTACTCCATCTGCCAGCACATTAACCAAGGCTCAACTGTTCAACGGTATTAAACGTTATATCAGCTCTTCAATGATGGCCTTGTTACGTATGGAAATGTTTGGAAATTCCGATAGAGAATGGAAAACAGATGAACGACAAGTGGCCGTGGATATCTTACGTTTGGGTGAAAATGTCTATAAGTACTTTACAGATGAATGGCGTTTTCGTTTACCCGGTTTGCGAGATGCGAAAACTTGGCTTAGTCAGTCTGTACAATTGGATGACGAGGAAGATCTATGATAATGTAAGGAAGGAATGCATCATTACATTTAGATATGTATTTATAAACAACATGCCAATCGGTTTATTTAGTACCGTCTATTATGATAAATTCGAGACTGGCTGAATAGATTGTATATTATCTTACATCCGATCAACAACTCATCATGTTCAGAGCTTTTTTTACATTAATTTTAAGTTTTGAAGTTACCGTGTATACTATTATGATTACATTTTTTATATATAGAAACAAGTAGCTCATACAAAAATCCCAAATCAAAACTTTTTTAAAGTGTAGTTTCTCCATTTTTATGCCTAAGCAAATACATTCTATATGGTATGTTCGGGTACTGCAAGAATCTACTAGTTTTTAATATTTTTTCAGATATCATAAAGGAAAATTTGTTGTCGTAGTAAAAAGTAGTATATTCTTGCAGTAAGGGAACAGACCAATATTTATTACATTCTATTTAAGACCAATAAATATAATTAGTTTTTCAAATAAGTATTTATTTTTTGTTTAAATTTAAAGGGTACGCCATACCCATTCTGTAGTTCTTTATCATTGTGCTTCCCAGGATCTCTTACAGCAAATGGCTCAGCTGTCGCAATCATTAAATGTTTCTTGTCCAATATGTGAGTCTCTTGAGCAGGAATCGCATCTCGCCCCCAAAAAACAATATGAACTTCACCTAAAGGATCGTTTCTGACACCGTTTACGTTCTATTTATGAAGTATTTCTATTGGTCTTCAAAATGTATATATTTGTAGACGAATAGGTATTCTTATAAAAGACAGACCACTAGATCTTTATAAAGATGACCTTTTAGAAAACCACTATGTCATCGTATAGAAAACAACTAAGACTTCGTATGATTATTAGTGCCTCTTCGTAAAGATTTCCCTCATGTCATCAAATAGAAGATCACTATGTCTACGCTAGCTTCTTACAGAAAATATTCAGCCATTAACAACCCTATTACTGAATAGTACTCCTATTCTGGAGAGAATCAATTTTACTTATTATTACTTTTCTGCAGTAAAAACCATTTGATAGTTTATTCACCTACTACTAACTGAGCAACAGTTCCTCTCACGGACAAATATTTTAGAGTATGTCCAGATCGCTTTTCGCTATGTAAATCGTTGTGGTGTTCAAATTATACCAATTGCATTAGAAAATATGTATCGATTCGAAAATAGACTTTGTTAATAATTGCGTTTTGTAGTTTGACTGGACGGAATTGAACAAACGTTCAAAAATGGATATTATAACGCACGCATAAAAATACATGTAAAGGTTCAATTAACACAGTTCTTCTATTTTTTATGAAAACATTAAAAACACTAGTTGTAATTTTTATATAACTTTTATTTATTGATATAAATTTCTAATATCAATTGGTTCCGTCAAATCGCAAACAATAGACGTTGGCTAAAAATAAGAGCGTGATTAATTGAAAATTATTGATGAACAAAATATTTATTTTAAAACAACAACTAAATACCTTTAATTCTCGAACACAAAAGTCTGAACTGGAAGCATCGCATATCATTCCTGTCGGACAACTGCCCACTACATCCGATGGTATTGTGGCTCCAAAACAAAATGCAAATGTTGTACGCGAAGTACACGCAAATACTTGATTAGAATTACATATACCACAGCTAGATGTATCTCCGCAACTGGCTGGCAAAGTATTACGTTGGAAACATATATTCGGTAGGTGGGTACAAACTAAACCGTCTGGGCATGTGAACAATTGTTCAGTATTTGGTATGTTTGCTAAAAATATTAAAAACAATTTACAATGGTTTATTGTTTAGTGGCAAAAAAGCTCTGACAAAATTTGCCACCTACCACCAAAACAAAAATGATAAGACGTTTCATTTACACAGGCCACATTATTTTCCTGGCACTCATTACAAACAGCAGCCACCAGGCAATTATTTAGGTATAATAAAACCAATGCAAAAAATAGTAACTATAAAATAATTTTTAATTTCTGTTACAATAAATGAAAATAAAAAAATACTTACTGCAGTTCTAATTACAAACAAATATTCCATTATCATTATCTATTATCGTAAGTCGCCAAAGTGTTATTTTGTTTCTTTTTTCTTAACTACCAAACGGTATCAATCAATCGCAATGACTGTTGAATAAATACTATTTCGAATTTGACAAATCCATTCAGCATTTTCCTCCACTATCATTTTGAAATACATACTTATCTTACCGCTATTTTGTTTGTGTATTATTTTCGTCATTATTAGCTACTGCGTACGGGTTGTTAGGCATAAAATGTTTACTTTTTCTTCTATTGTTAATTAAAACCATTGATTAGAACGACATTCAAATTATCACCGGCATTAGGCGGTTATCCACAAAAGAAAAGAAATATTACCATTTCTCACCAAGCGTTACAGGTTGAATGTGTCAAATATTAATGTAGTGTGCTGTATTGTGTTGAACTTAATAAAGAAAGCAAATTTACTGTGGTATGCATTGAATAATTTTCGACTGGCTAATTATGAATGAAATAGACATGAAATTGGCTGCGTTTATAACAAAAGCCCGTATAGGGTGACGGAACCGACAATATATCACCCTAAACAACCACCATTGGATATCGTTTCCACGACAGAGGAGTCTACGATCCGAAACGACCCGAGTTTTTTTCAGCTACAACAACAATCAGTGGATGTTAACGTTACATAACCTGAGACAAGCTTTCCACATTTACGCCATCTAGTGTGATAATATTCGAATATCGAGATACATGTCTAGCACAATTCGACAATGCCTTCCCAAAATAAATATATTCAGTTCGGGCCTGCCGAGTTTAACGACATTTTACATTTCTAAAAAAAACGTGCTATTAGCGTGGCTTTAAAACAAACATTTTCAAGGAATAACGGAGATATCGGATTCTGATACAAAACTGTTCAAGTATTAAAGATTTTGTGATTATTTGTAAATATTTGCATTCTAATATAAACAAATAATCACAAAATCTTTAATACTTGAACAATTTTGTCTCAGAATCCGATATCTCCGTTATTCCTTGAAAATGTTTGTTTTAAAGCCACGTTAAACTCGGCAGGCCCAAACTATCATATATTCCACCACGAGGGTAAAATAACTAAAATCGCGCGAGTTTTGGGGTTATTTGAAAAAGTCTTATATCCACCAACTTTGCTTAACAAAAAAAGTTCGAATTATATTTTTTATCTTCTCAAAACCATTTTTTTCCTTTATTATTATTTCTATTTAATTACATACATAATATGTAAATATGACATTAGATAGTGAATGCAGACACATACATTAATATATAATCGATTTTCTTTATTTTTTGGAGATGATAATGTATCAACCCAATACAAACCACGTTGTATGTCTAATTTTTGGAATCTATGCTCGTCGCAGTACATATAAAAATGAAATAATTGTTCTAAATAACTAGATCTTATATGGAATATGTGTCAATTTAAATTGTGCAGGGAAGATACACGATATACTTAATGACAGAAGATCAAAATGCTAAACTTCCTTTCTCTCATGGAAAATGAAATTAATTTACAAAATGAAGGGGAAAATTGCACGTCTTTGTTTGGGATAATCTTTGAATTCTTTTCTGTAGTTGCGATGTTTACCCAAGGCCCAAACGGTCATTTGGAAGGCGCCGGCAAAGGCGAACAAGAGAGCGGGCAAACACGATGTCATAATGGAGAATGAAATCCAAGCACCAATTTCATAGGTGTAGTTGGGGCAAGAAACCAAGCTGTGAAGTAAAATAAAAATAGAATCAGTTTGTGATGCGTCTTTAGAATATGTTGGTGTTCAATGAATACTTACTGGAACAAATTTGTTAATGGATTGCCATCGGGAACGGGAATCTTACGCACCTTTGTGCCTGGTGGTCTCAAGTTACGCAAAGCAATGTGAACGGAAAAGTTGCCCAATTCACAGAACTGTAAAAAAACAGAATATATCATTAATTATAATTTACAGTACAGCAAATTTCTTGACTTAGTTAAAAGCAGCAATGAAGAAAACAATAACAAAATCACTTGTTGCTAATTAAAATACAGTATAACACATTGCCTTAAATAATTTACAAGTCTTATTCATTTCAAAGTCCGAATAATTATTCTTTAAAAATATAGTGGTATTGCCTTATTTATATGTTTTTTTTTCTAGAACTGGAAATAATCATATAAACACAAGTAGACAAAGTAGAATTTATCATATTGGAAAACTCAAAAAAAAAAAAAATAAATAAATAAAAAACACAAAAAAAATTATCAAAATAAAAGATTAAATTAAATTTTTGAATGTAATTTTAAATCAAAAATTGCGAAGGTCAGTTATTGTGTTTATATCCCCTATGTTCCAAAGTATAAAATTTCATTGAACATTCCAAAATGTTTGTCTATTGTTATATACCTTTCGTCAAAAAACTATTCCTTGAGTGCTGTTATCTTTTCCAAATTTGTTTAAAAAGTGATAATTAAAAAAATGTTGTCAGTGAACTTTAACCCTGCATTGATTGCTTGTTGTAAGACTAAATATTTTAAGTCAATACATATATTAAATTCCTGAGCATTCCATTGTTAGCAATTCTAATTTACAATAAATATTTACCCAAAAGTGCTAGGTGTAACGTGTGACAATAACTTACCGCAAACAAAGCCAGAGCGGCCCAAACTTGCAACATACAGGGAGATGTGAAAAATGGATGATTGACGTGATACGAAACATATGCGGTAAATCCCCAATAGTATGAGCAATTTTTGAACAGGTTACGCAAGGGCATAGTGGAGTGAGAGAATCGATGAACGAAGATGGTTTCCAATAATCGCTTCACATAATGGACTGTGTAGCAAATAGCAGCAATACTACAAAACAAAAAGAAATAAAATTAGTTGAGACACAAACATACACACTCACATATATGAATAACAATAAACTATATACCGAATATAAAATAAAATCGAAAACTTTTGTCATAGTTTTATTTTTTCGTCACCCTAAATTATGCAAAAATTATACAAATTCAAGTTCGAGGTACAACAAAATTTAGTAAAACGCTCAATAGCGCAGCTATTGCAATGCCAAACGTCGACGTTTGCTGGGGTCAAACTAGGTTAGGCATTTCTTCACCGTTTGTTATGGCTATCAATGTTATTAATATTGAGTTGCTTTGTATGTGTATGTGTACGTGCGAGCGATTAGTTCATATGTGTTGTTCCACAACTTTCTCAGATTTTAAATATTAATAATTTGATTTGAAAAAAGTGCATACTTTTAAGGGAAAGTTATGGAATCGAATCTAATCTATGTATTTGGCAATCACCAGCAACACACTTTATCACTGATATGAGAGCATACATACATTTTTTTTAAATATCATTATCGAAAACATTAACTTACTGGGTGGTTAGAGAAATTGGCTCTGTTGCGTTTTTACCATAAACCAATTCGGGACGTGTATAGAAAATCAAATATACTATTAGAGGGCCAGCATATTCGGCCAAAAACACCGTTTTCCAACCAATTTGTGGTCCCAAATCCTTTACGTACACCTTATCACCGGCTTGAACTTTAAGGGTTCTCAAAGTCTCAGTGTCTTTGACTGCCTTGCCCTTGGGTTCCAAACGCAACGATTGTCTATCAGCCGAGGGGGTTTGCTTGAATTTGTTGTGAATAAGTTGCCGCAAGTAGGACATATCTGTTTCAGCAGAAACAGACATTTTTCCATAGGGCTTTAGGGTTTTTGCATTAACTATTTCAATCTATGAAAGAAACATCACGTTAATAAAATATGAATGACTTAATTTCTGTAATCATCAGTTACATACCTCCATTTTTACGTATTGGCCTTAATAGGTTTTGTTAATCACTGGAATTAAACACAGTCACCGTCCTCCACAAGACCGAGCTGAACACCTTCTTATACAGAGTTTGCCGAATGACAGGTAAAAACTCAAAGTTCGTTGGATAGCAGACAAGCCATGAATTAGGGTACAGTAAATGCGTTAAGCAAAATCAGCTGATTTGTATACCATGAATAACAACGTATGAAGGGAGTGCACTGTCAAAAATATATTTGAGGATATTGTTATTTGTATGCATTGTAAAAAGGCGCGTTTAGACAACAACTTGTATTGTGATATATAAATAGCTAAATGGAGATCAATTTACCTCGATTTACCACTAAAAATTAAATCCACTCAATATCTCGATTTGCTGGAAATCCTATGCTAAATCGAGATAATTTCAGATACAACCCTGCTTTTGCATCAAAATATAATGAGTTCTCCTTAAAGTATGCTAAAAAATATGTTAGTTACAATTCAAAATAATTACCTACCAAAAATATGGCAGCCGATGAAACATTGAAATTTTTAATGTAGAATGATTATCATTATAATTTAAATCAACAAAAGTGTTTATCCTCTTTTGACCTAATGGAGAACAAGTTATGAAAATATTAATTGAAAAAAATTGTCACAGAAGTTATGAAAACAGTGAAATGTGTACGTAAACAGCTGATAAGTCAACTTTATGTTACTTATCAAAAACAATTGAAAATTCAGGATTAAGGGCTGTTGCGTTATTTATTTCCTGAAACTGGCACAATTTTGCGACATTTAAACAATGCCCCTTTTCTCATTAAATTAGTCGCTCGGTGCACATAGATTAACTCACTTTTTGAAAAATATTAAATTTACGTATCAAGGTTCTTGGGATGGTCACAACTTTTAATACTTATAATAACTTTTCTGAATAAAATCAATTTGTTTCTTCCAGATGATTTTCATTTAAGAGGAAACCGAAATTATAAATATCAAAGTCCAATAAAAAATGAGTTAACATCGTATTTTTTTAAATTCGTGGTAAATTTTTTTCTTTTTGTAAACAAGTGTGAGTTAACAAATATCAGCTGGCAGTCATTTGAAATTATTTCAAAGCTAGTGTAAATAACCTTAAAGTACATTTACATGTATGATTTTAAATCGACTCGATTAACGAAATCCAGAAATACACCCTAATTGTTTACACGTGATCTAAATCCCGATCAGCTTATATTTGTTAGTATACATACAAAATTATGAAGTGGCGCCAAAAATTGTTCTTTGCAATTTGAAAATGAAATGAAAAACTACAAGAATGGAAATGTTTTTGCAAGTCTGCAATCTCTTGGAATGTAAAAAAAATCACCTAAAACACAACAATTCTATAAATAATTGTTTTTTCTTTGATTTTTCAATTTTGCATTTAGCAACCGTTAAATATAAAAGTACAACATGTGAAAACAGTATCAAATTTTGGTACAGTGTAGGAGAGCTGTATTTTTTCGTACAAAAACCGCGATGCATCTCATTAGTATCATGATTTCGATAATGATTTAAAATAAACCCTGCCGCGCAATGATTTGAATTTGTAAGATAAATCATGGTAAATTCAGCCTGATTATAAAAACTTCGTAAATCCACATCATATAAAGTGTGTATAGGTGCATATAGACTATAGCTTTTATCGTGATAAAGTGCATTATCTCGATTTAATTGGTAAATCGAGCTGAATTTACCTTCATTTACCATATAAAATTAAATCCACTTAATATCTCGATTTGCTCTATACGCTATGCTAAATCGAGATAATTTCATATACAACCCTGCTTTTGTCCCAAAAAATAATAGTTTCTTCTTATAGTATGCTTTAAAATTAGACATTGTTCAAAATAACTGCCGGGCAAGAGTATGTCAACTGCTGAATATTCAGTTTTTGTTTGCATTCATAATAACTATTACTATAATTTAGAACGACAAAGGGTTTTATGCATTTCTAACCTACTAGAAAGCAAAAATTAAGTTAAAAATTGCCACAGACATCACGGTAGCAGTAAAATGTGTATGTATACGTAAACGAATAACAGCTGACAAATCCACTTCATTCCATTTTAATACTAGTCTAAACAGTTATGATTAGATATCTCGTATTACAAATCGAGTCGATTTAGAAGTCATAAAGTACATTTACATATACGATTTTAAACGAACTCGATTAACGAAATTCAGAAATACCCTAATTGTTTACACATACCCTTAATCATGATCTAAATGCCGATCAGCTGATGTTTGTTAGTATACATACAAAATTATTAATTTGCGCCAAAAATAATTGTTTGCAATTTGAAAAAGAATAGAAGAATTACCACAATGGAATTGTTTTTGCAATACTGTGATCGTTTGGAAAGTAAAAAAACGCCTAAAAACACAAAAATTCTATAATTAATTTTTATTTTCCTTTGATCTGTCATTTTTGTATTTGTCAGCCGTTAAATTTAAAAACAAACGGCATGTAAAAACAGTTGCAAATTTTGGAACATTGTGAGAGAGTTGTATTTTTTCGTACAAAACCCGCGTTGCATCTCAGTAGTATGTCTGAATTTAGATTGGGCGAGTTAACTTGCGGCAAGTCTTTGTTTGAAGGAGAGGGGGGCAAGGGGAATAGAAATTGAAAAAAATTGCTCGTACCGGCAATTTTCTAGCCATTTGTTTTGTGTATTTCGTATTTTAGTGTCAACTGTCAGATATTTCTTGACATTACCTTTTAATTTCGAATTTCAGTGTGAAAAATATTAAAAACAATAATTTAAAAAATATATGTGCAAAAAATATTAAGTAAATAATTAATAATAAATCATATAAAAAACTAAAAATGCCAATTAAGTGGTCAAGAGATGAAATAGAAAAGTTGATTGTTTGTGTTCAAGAAAATCCCTGTTTATACAACATCAAATCGGCCGAGTATTTGGACCGAAATTTAAAGGCACAAACATTCAACAATATTTTAATTGAAATGCAGTCTTTTATAACAAATATAACATTGGATGACATCAAACGAAAATGGAAAAATTTAAGGACCCAATATACACAGGAACTGCGTACTCAAAGGCAATCAAAAAAAAGTGGATCTGGTATATGCGATATTTACGTTCCAAAATTATGGTGTTTCCACCAATTGTCGTTCATCGATATTCATGTACAATCTCGAGAAAGTGTGGATAACACGAAGGTAGTAAAAATGTAAATAATGAAAATTTGTGTTAATACTCAAAATCTTTTCTTTAGGTCGTGGAAGAAAATTTAGAAGATGAACCAAATTCAATTGTACCGGTGAGTTAACTTTGGTCTAACTGATATTAACTTTATTTGTGGTATATAGTTTCTAAATTAAGAACTGTAAGACTTCTTTTCAAAAATATATTGTTCGAATAGGGCATATTTTTAAACGACACCATTTACCTCATTAGTTCTTATTTGTTTATATCTTCCACATTGCAGGACACTGAAATATTAAGCTATGTCGATGAGACAACAATGTCTACTTTTTGTGAGGAGAATAGTATCAACGAAGTTCCTCCAAGAAAAAAGGCTAAGGTCATTAAATGATTTATTATAAAGAACTGTAATGCAATGTGTGTTTCATTATTTCATTTACATGTTTACATAATACAGAATTCTCGTCAAATTCATGAACTTCGAAGTGATCTGGATTGTTTTAAGAACCTAATTGCTCAAAAAAAAAGAAAAAAATTTGACTGGTTGGGCAACTTGGTGGCTTCCCAAATGGAAGATATTGATCCTGATGATCAGGCTGACGCGGCTTGGAAAGTACAATGTCTTATGCGGGATCTTTTAAGTCAGGCTGCTAGTAAGAAAAAAAAGCAAACTAGTCCTTCTGCCGGGAATGATATTTTGGAATTGTCAATGGAGGGAGTTTATACCGAAGATGATTTCCTGGAATAATTCTAACATTATGCCATTTACATTAATATGTAAGGACTTGTACGATATGGCGTCGTCTGAATCACACAGAATACAATTAAATCGCCATTACTAGCAAAACAAATTATCTGTACTATTTACAACCTACACATCTATGTTGTCAGGATATTATAGCTTTTGCAGCCCCAAGAGTTTGTAACGCCGCGAAATATTGGTTCTAGACCAACCTTTAAGAATACCGATCGTCATATCTCGAGCTGATATGCTGAGTCGATCTAGACATGTGTGTCTGTCCATTATAATTTGTAAACACGATACAGGCCACAGTTATGGACCAACGAACGATTTGCATGTAGGATGGGTTCTGGCCAATGAAGACCCGTTTTGTTTTTTGTATTGTAAAGATCGGTTAATATTTAGGGGATGAAAAGGACCAAATACTTAATTTTTGTCGCTCCAGAGGCCACAATTATGGCACAAAAATCGCGATTTTTAACACTGAGAAGGGGATTGGGCCAAAGAATAACCATGACTATTTTGATAAAGATCGATTAATATTTAGCGGGTCAAATGGACCCTGACTTTTGTGTGAAAAATTACAAAATTTGTATTCTATAGGGAATATGTTTACTCCTGAAGGCCATAGACCCGAGAAGTTGATAGTATATCCAAGAGGAGTGGTTGGCCTTTAAATTGATACCAATTATATTGTCGTATGTACTCGGTGTGGGAGTTACACTTAAACATTTACAGATACTTATCGTTAGCTAAAATGCAAAAAGGCGTAACTAACAAAAAAATTTAAAATTGACTTTTTGAATTAATATTGTGAATGTCAATAAACCACATGTGTTGACAAAGTTTTACACGTCTGCGGTCAAAAAAGAGCTTCTATTAACAAAAAACAAAAAGACGTAACTACAAGTGGGTTTATTTGATAAATGCAAAAAGGCGTAACTAACAAAAAATTCACGTTTTTACTTAATTGTTATGACTGCCATTTAACTAAATAACTAAATTTGTTAAAAAGATATAGTCTATTCGTCATATGCAATATCACCCTGCAGGGCATACTTTTTCATTTCACATGACATGTTTATAGTTTTCATTCAAAACAGTTTTTTGCTTCTCCTACACAATTATGCTTTTGTTAGTTACGCCTTTTTGCATTTTAGCTGACGTTATGTATTCATATATTATTTATTAACCCACTGCCACACTAGAGGGCCAGGTATGGTCAAGGACAAAGCCTATTATTTTCGGTGATGATCAGATAATAATATTGGGATGAAGTGAATCAAAAACTTAATTTGATGTGTTTTTTTCGAGTTGATCTATAGGCCACAGTTGAAAGCCGAACATCACAATACAACCCACGGTGTACGAAATCTGGGCAAGTAATTAGAAGTACTGAATGTTAGTAATATTTGTTGACCTCTAGTCTTCAAGATAGTGCAAATACCGCGAATAACTGCCCAGGTTCAGAATATAGAACCGTAGAAAGTTAGATTTTAGTGGTAGTTGTGTAGGGTATCATATGGTCGGCCCCGTCCGACTATACTGCTCCGCCCACTGATTTTCATTTGAATTCAATATTAAATACGACATGTATTTCATTTACGAAAATATCTGAATAGTAGGGAGGATACATTATTATATAAGACGTAAACATACACCTCAAAATTTTTACTTGTTTTAATTAATTATTGTAATTATTTTTGCTTTTATTTCAGATTAACAAAGAAAACAAACAATTAAAATTTTGATATTTATTTATTCATATTTAATTGAAAATATTTGTAAATTAGATTTTATTATTAAAAAATAAATGAATGAAATTAATTTATTTAACTTCTATCCAATCTAGTTTCCCTTCATTATTAAAGTATGCCATAAATTCTTGTCGAATTATTTCAGCGTTTCCCTTTCGGGGATTATATGTGGAATCCACTCCACCTTCATTGACTACAGGAGTAAAATACTGATAGGTGTTGATATATGTCTCGTCACGTTCTAGCAAAAAGTTGTGTAAAGCACAACAAACAAATGTTATAGTTTGCACAGTTTCAACTCGTAAGTTCATTGGGGATAAAAAAACTCGCAATCTATTCGCAAGAATTCCAAAAGCATGCTCTACAACATGTCTTGCTCGAGAGAGTCTTGCATTGAATGTTTGTTTTTGCCTGCAGTTCGTGTGGTATGGATATGGTTTCAATAAATGTGTTTGCATCGGAAATGCATCGTCTCCCACTACCACATATGGAAGACACCGGTCTTTACCCACCACTGAGTTCACAGGTATTTCTTTTCCTTCCATCAACACTCTTCTCAATTTACTTTGTAGGAACACCCCAGCATCATTACAACGGCCATTGCAACCTATATCGACGAAAATAAATTTGCAATTGGCATCAACTAGGGCCATCAAAATAATGCTGTTTGTCCCTTTATAGTTGTGGTAGAATGCACCATCTTTTCGTAGCGGTCTAAAGGTGATATGCTTTCCGTCTATTGCACCTAGGCAGTTTGGGAATTGCCATTTGATGGCAAATTCTTTTGCAATGGATTCCCATTCAAAAGGGCAATTGGGAAACTGTGTGGAATAAAAAAACTATAAAAATATATTTTTCAAAAATTTACATCAAGATAAATACCTTCAAATAAAAATCTCTCAGTTGATTTAACAGCGCTTCGCATACCTCCGGTATTATAAGACAAATTGATGACTTAGATAAGCGAGTTTGATAGTCAAGACTTTGAAAAGTCTCTCCTGTACAAGCAATTATTATTAAAACAACGACTAGATATGTGATAACTCACCACTAGCGAGGAACCTTAAAGTCAATGCTAATTTTTCAGCTGCTGGAATTGCGTCCCTCATTTTTGTATTGGAACGCGCGATTTCCTGTTGCACTAAGTTTAATAAATATTTAAATTGCTCTTTAGTCACCCTTAAATAATTTTTGTACGACACTTCGTCTTTCAAGAGCAATTCTTTTGTCAGAAACGCAAATGACCCGGAATCACTTCTATTTTCTCTCCATGGCTTCACCCATAGCCTTCTAGCTCTAGTAGGCAAAAACGTGGCTTTCTTGCATAAACTAGTCAAACCTAAATTTTAAGAAGAATAATGTTAAATTGTATTTATAATATATTTTTTTGCAAACCTATTAGTATATCCTCTTTGTCACTGCCGTCCGAATCTAAGTCAATCGCTTCACCAATGCAATCTACAATATTTTCGATGATGGTATTTCTGTCTGCTCTATTCATATTTCTATTTATATTTGTTTTTAATCTTATTTTGTTCAATTTTTTCCACAAAATTAAAAAAAAAACTTTCACAAAATGTCAAAACAGAAAAACAAAACAAATATTTTTGAAATGGAATTGCCTTGTATAGACGCATAAAGCAAGTTTAAAAGAGAGCGATAAAAATTGCCGCAAGTAAACTCGCCTAATATAAATCAAGACTATCATGATTTCGATCATGATTTAAAATAAATCCTGCTGCACGGTGATTAAAATTTGTGTGGTAAATCATGGTAAATTTAGCCTGATTAAGAAAATAAACCCTGATTCAGCCTTTAATCATGATTAAATGTTATATGTAAATTCGCTTATAGTCTAAACGCTAACGCTTATGTAAATGCGCTATTGGGAACACAACTTATTCAATACAAAAAGTTTTTTAGCCGAAAGTCGGCTTACGCATCCCTAAGCATTCCTCGACATAAGCGCCGATTTGCGGTATCCCTAATCGACAATTCTCTCATGTCTCTTTCTCAACAATCGCTTCTTAAGCGGTGTCCATCACATCTCATTCGTAAATTTTACGTTTTTCATTTTGAGTTCCTTCTTTATCGGCCATTTTAATTTTTCTCAATTACAAAGCTTGCTTCTTTACTTTGCCGAGTAACCTCCGAACACATTGACAGACTTTTGAATTGTGAATTTCAAAAGAATTGTGAAAAAGTCTGCAAAATGAAGAAAAATAAACCCATTCTGTACGATCCGCAAATAATAAATCGTGTCAAGCAGGTGAGTCCATCAAGTAGAAATTGTCTACATAAAAAGCGTCAATGTCACAGCACTTTGATGAATGGAATGTTAAAAAAGCAACATCAGTGCATTCACACCGGCAGAACTTCGAATCAATTGGACGCATCTTTTGGCGGTACACTTACTTGTGTGAAATTAGGTTAAGTTTTTCTATTGCCTGATACATATTTCATTTTATGTTGTAAACATTTCATGACACTTCCGGCCATTGCAAATATCTTGATCATATGAGTGTCCACAGTATTTGGAGGAAAATGTCGATAAGACCTATTTGGATGTAACAATAATGACGAAACATTTACAAGAGCGTTATCCGGAATATGCTCGTCGTAAAATGGCACCATTTCGGGCATTGGTGGAACAAGGTAAGTGCATACGATTGATTAGCTATTAGCTAATGATGTAATTGGAATAATTTAATTGTGTTTCCAGCATACCATGTGGTATCACAGAGCTATGGTCTCGATGATCAAGTTTCAAGTGGTGATGAATCTGATGCTTCCGATTTGGAAGTTATGGATGTAAGTTGACAAGTGTTATATTTCATATGTGTATTCGTAATTTATTGTACTTTTTAAGTAAGGGGTCAAGGTCGATATATTCGATGCTCACTTGTTAAGTTATTAAACCTCACGTTAATATTGGAAAATTTGGATTAGATCAGCTGTGCCCAAAATAGGTCCCATGGGCTGTCGGTGTGTGTCAAATTGCTCACACATACAATTATAAAAGAGAAAATTTTGAAAATAAAAATTATTTTCAAAATTGTCATTCATTCCTTTTCGTTTTTATACACTAACCGAAAAAATTGGGATATTTCTGGCAAACATTAGTTCGGAACAGGTCGAAATATGTGAGCAATATTATGCCGGAAGGGCAAAACAGAAACAAATATATCTTTATATGAGAAAATGTATCATCAACATCCATATTTGCATTAAATATTAAATTTGTTCTTCCTTAAAATTTGAAAATAATATTTTAACAAAATTTCTCCCAGTATATGACATAGAAACAGAACTTTTGAAAATATTGTATTTGTAACATATACAATCACAAAACTTGAATGTATTAGTGTGGACAGCCCTGGATTAGATCGAATATTGTTTCTATACATGTATTCCAATATATTTATACACTCCTCGTGCTACATAAAATACCTTCTGTGGTACATTTTTAGTGAGATTAATATTAAATTTTTATGGGGTCAATGGTTAGTTTTCAAATTCTCAATCCTAAGATATAATTCAATACAAATCGAATATATCGAACATTTGTGAGATCAGCTACAAACCAGCTGGTGTTTATGTCTTCATAAGTCACGACCCACACACAATTTTACCAAGAATTAAACTGATAATTTATTATAAGCCTTTAGTTCTATTTTTGTATATGAACGTAAAAAACTACACTATTGTTTTTGTGTAACGTCTGCACCTAAATTTAAATTTATTTCCTTTACAGGACTCGTCAAATAATTTAATGAGCAACATGATGAGTGATTTGTACAGCAAATCAAAGCCACCATCAACTTCAACTGCCACAGCTCCACCAGCAAATAAAGCATCTGCTGAAGCAATCGACATCAGTAGCGATGAAAGCGGAGATGAAACTAATTCATCAAAACCCAATGGCAAAAGTTTGCCCAAAGGTATATTACCTCCAAGTATTTGGTGTACTTATTGATTGATTTCTCATTTTCCCTTATTAGGTGTCAGTGGTCTGCCGATATCAAAGAATGCAGCCATAACAGTTACCAAAATCCAAGTTCCCACATCATCCGTACAGGAGCCATCATCCAAAGGTTCCTCTTCAAACGCATCAAATGCTACAGATTCCAATTCATTACCCCCTCTGCAACAGCATCCCGGTCAGAAACGTCACGAGACTGCTAGTGGATCGAGTCCAGCTGCCCCAGGACAACCATCTAAAAAACGTAAGTTGGATGAAACTATGAATAACGACTCATCAATGTATACGAAAAATCGTCAAATGACAAATCAATTCAACAAACTAGAGAAAAGCGATAGCGTCAACAATGCCTATATAATGCAGCAATTGCAACGCCACACTAATCAAATGCGGCAGCAGCAAGCTACATCAAATCGTGGCAATAGTAATGACTCAGATCGGCCATTTAATCCCAACACTGGTGGCGGTGGCAGCAGTAGTGGCGGAGGTGGTTCTCGTTCCCGTAAATATAAAAAGGAAGTTCAGCTGCGTAAATCCCGGGAGACATTTCAAGATATTGGTGGTATGGAAAAGACCCTTAAGGAATTGTGTGAACTCCTTATGCACATTAAATCACCTGATATATACTTTGTGTTGGGCCTAATGCCACCCAGAGGTATATTGTTACATGGACCACCTGGATGTGGTAAAACATTATTGGCGCATGCTATTGCTGGGGTGAGTAATTGTCAAAGTCAATACATTTTGAGGTAGATACAATCTTGTTTTGTTGCGAATTTATATTATTTTATATTGAACATAAATATGAAAGACGGGATTGACTTCGAATCTGTCTCTATATCTATTCATAATAGTCAAAATTAATCTTCAAAATCCTCGTTTATTTACCTGATAGTCCACCAAAATTATTCACGTTTGTGTAGCTGATAGTCATATAAAATTATACATTGAAATTTTCCATTATAAAAGATAAATTATAAATTTTTTGTCGCCAATTTGAAATTATTTGTTCTCATGAAAAGTTTAAATACACGATATGAAACAATAAATGTTTGATGTCACACTTCTATAGTCTAAAACTACGCCTGTCAATTACCAACAAAATTAAAGCGTGAAAAGCCTGAAAAAATAATTCTTATAGGTAGATGCTGGATTGTATCTTCCAATTTCACATTCTAAAATCTATATTCCATATCTAACCGATGTTTATGTAGGGCATCGCCTAGTTTAGCTCTTTTCTCTAAAACAAAATTAATACGTATTCTTTTCCCTTGCAGCAACTCAATTTACCGCTCATTGAAATTCCCGCCACAGAATTGATTGCCGGTGTTTCGGGTGAATCTGAAGAACGCATTCGTGATGTGTTCGATCAAGCAGCTGCATGTGCCCCTTGTGTTTTGTTTATTGATGAAATTGATGCAATCTCTTCGAATCGTTCTATGGCTCAACGTGATATGGAAAGGCGCATTGTATCACAACTGATCAGTAGTTTAGATAATTTGAAATTATCTGAAGGTGGTCAATCGGTATTGGTCATTGGTGCAACTACACGGCCGGATGTTTTAGATCCCGCACTCAGACGAGTTGGTCGTTTCGATCATGAAATTTCAATTGGTATACCGACACGAAAAGATCGCAAAGATATATTGACTATAATATGCGAGGGATTGTCGGTGGAACAAAAATGTGATTTTGATAAAATTGCTGAGTTGACACCTGGCTATGTGGGTGCCGATTTATTGGCTCTCGTTTCAAGAGCAGCAACAATTGCAGTTAAACGAAAGTAAGTATATTAAATTACATTAGAAACATATTAATTACAACATTTTTTCAGATGTTCTGAACAGATGCGTGCCTTCCAGCTTAAGGCCCAGCGCAATATTACAATTGTCGATTTAGATGATGACAACGAGGAGACGGATAACAACAAACCCGCTGAAGAAGGGGAAAAGAAATCTGAAGGAAAGGAAGAAGATGCAGCTGATTCGTCTCCTTCTACCGAAAAAGATCAAGACAAACCCACCGATGATACAGAAGAAATGTCTGTGGATACAACGGAAACAGAAGCCAAAATGAAGGAAACATCAGATAAAAATATATCGGAGGACAAAAATAATGTAGAGAATGATGTCGAAATGACAGATGGTACCAAGGAAAAGTCTAATGACAAAGAAACTAAAGATTCATCTCCGAATACAACAGAAAATAAGGAGTCAAAAATTACCACCCCGGCTGATGCTATTGTCGGTGACAAAAACATAAAATTGCCTGAGCCCACATTATTCGAATTACTTAACTGGCTTGATAATCCACCAGAGGATATAACATTTGTTTCCGAATTTTGCATAACCCTTAATGACTTCTGTGAAGCTGTGAAGGTGGTGCAACCCTCAGCGAAACGTGAAGGTTTTATTACCGTACCCGATGTTACATGGGACGATGTTGGCTCACTGCAAGACATACGTGAAGAACTTAAATTGGCCGTTTTGGCGCCAGTTAAATTCCCTGAAAAGTTAACACGTTTGGGCTTGTCAGCACCCTCGGGTGTGTTGTTGTGTGGTCCACCTGGTTGTGGTAAAACATTGCTTGCCAAAGCTATTGCCAATGAGGCTGGTATTAATTTTATATCTGTTAAGGGACCAGAATTAATGAATATGGTAAGTTTTGCAAAATAGAATTTCAAGGATATATTAAATTAATGTTTGTTCTAAATTTCAGTATGTTGGCGAAAGTGAACGTGCTGTCAGGGCCTGCTTCCAGAGGGCAAGAAACTCTGCACCATGTGTCATCTTCTTCGATGAATTCGATTCGTTGTGTCCCAAACGTTCTGATGGCAACGAAGGTGGTTCCGGCACTAGAGTGGTTAACCAATTGTTGACAGAAATGGATGGTGTTGAAGATCGCCAGGGTGTTTATATTTTGGCTGCTACAAATCGTCCAGATATTATTGATCCCGCTATTTTACGTCCCGGTCGTTTGGATACCATACTCTATGTTGGTCTGCCGGAAAAACAAGATCGTTTGGAAATATTAAAGGCAAACACAAAGGTAATGTTTTATTTTTTGTGTTGTATGAACTCAAATAATATCACAATATTTTATTTACATTTAGAATGGTACAAAGCCTGTATTGGCAGCCGATGTTGATTTCGAAGAACTTGCCTCATTAACTGATGGTTATACTGGTGCCGATTTAGCTGGTCTGGTACGACAGGCATCAATGATGGCCCTCAAAGAATCTTTAAATAATAACGAATTAAAATTGGAAGATTTATGTGTAACACGAGAACATTTCAATAAAGCCGTTAAAATGCTAAGACCGTCTGTCAGTGCGCAGGTAATATGGAAAACAATTTCATTAATATATAAAATTTATTTTTAATATAATATATTGTTTTTATTACAGGATCGCAAAGTCTATGACAAGTTACGCTTAAAATATGCGGCACCCCGCGTTTCCATAACAGACATACAAACCACAACAGATTAAATATTAAGTTTTTTTTATTATTTACATTTATTTTGCGCATTCTGTAAACTGTTTTTTTGTCTTTAATGAATTATAGTAATATCGATTATCAAACTATGTGTTGGTACAATATACCAGTTTTGAGAGAAAACATGTTAAACATCATAAAAGTTAATTTTTATACACCTTCTTGAAAAAGAAACAATTTGACAACTAAATGGCTGGACAATTGGCAAAACACATATTCCATAAACATCATATACATATATAAAAAAACGAAAACAAATTGAAGTTGTATATTTTCATTTATTTTACGAAATATATTTGTAAAAATAAATTAAAAATGATTAAATTTAATACGCCATTGTTTTTTTATTACAGTCTAAAAATACATTTGAACATAAATACATATGTTATTGATTTAATTATTAGGCTAGTTTTCAAGGGCCAGTAGACCCATAAGTTTGGGTTTTTGTATTATTTTTAAAGGATGCACATTTTTTAGTTTCAGGACCCAATAATAATTCCATTTTTTAAATAGGACGACCGAAAATGTAGAGCTTTTATAATGATTTACCAACGAAAGAAGGGCCTGAAGCGTACGCTAAGATCAAGTATTTATAGGAATATTTTTCACATATATATTTGTCAATACTTCGGCAAAGATCAGCAAATTACAATTTTTTTTAAAGACCAATTTTTTAAAATTAATATTTGTCTTTATTTAAATTGTCTTTATTCGTCCAATAACGATGGATAATAGCCATCAGTTGGCCTATTAACAATTTTATTTCTTACATTAAATTTAGGCAATATTTTCTTGTCATTCTGGTCCTCCCCTATTGTTTCCGTTGAATGAGATTCCATCATTTCGTCGTTAATTTCTTTGTGCTTTAATAACGACTTCGTTTGGGGTTCTACTTTTATGGAAATTATGTTTGTTGGCAAAAACCCTTCATTTTGATTTTCCAGTCGTTGTTTAGTTTCTTGTTCCTGAATTTGTGTTTTAAGATTGTACGCATGTTTACACATTTCCCGTATGCCACACCAACTTTCACTACTTATTGGACTAATTTTCTCTGGTGGTGGCTGAAATCCATATTCTGTTGATGGCAGCTCCATAACTAAGCAAATCGGTATTTTAACAACACCATATGCATAGTCGACCACCGAACCGGCAATAATTCGTTTCGTAAGATGCGAAATACTTCCAACACGATAATAACGACCATTATATGATTTGATAGCATTCCTTGCGGCCATGGCAACACTTTCCATTAGTTTGTAGTCTTGGGGTAAGCATCTAAAATTACACAAACGAAAAAGTTTATCATACAATATAACATATGTTATGCACTACTGCATCGTTTAGTTTGATGTCCATTTTCAGATGTGTATGCATGTATGCAACTTACTTGCTATGGCCCCAGGGATACATTATGCACTGAGCATACGAATGCAATGATAGAAAGAACAAAAGTTTTGGTGCCAGTTTATGTAGCATCTGGGCCAGAGATTTGGTTTCCGGTTCGGAGAAGGGTTTATCGCCAGGATAAGTGTTCCGTTTCGCATTTGATTTACATTGATCCCAATGGATATCAAAATTACGATTACAATCTGTACCCACATAGCCATCATCGTCATGGGGGCGACGATTTTTCCGCCATCGTGGATTCTGCAAATATTTTCAATAATGGTATTATTAAAATGAATAAGTAGAAAAAGGAAATCAATAAGATAACTCGGCGAAATTACTCCCAAGAGTGGGCACCAGCCAGCCAGACAGACACACCGACTCCGTCCTACTATACTGCTTACTCCGCTCACTGGTTTTAAATTAATTTTTTCGAGTAGATGTAAGTTTTTTGAGTTTATTTTTCGAGTGGCCATAAAGGCGTGATATTTATACCCTTCACCACATTGTGGTACAGGGTATTATGTCTTTGTGCATATGTTTGTAACAGGCAAAAGGAATCGAGATAGACCCATGGTTCCTTTTGAGAATATGCATAGAATCACTTTCTGAGTCGATTTATGCATGTCCGTCCGTCCGTCTGTTGATGTTAAATTGTAAACAAAGTACAGGTCGCATTTATAATCCGATTTGGCTGAAATTTGGTACAGCTCATTTATTTGGCCCAAGGACGAAATTGGGAAAAATCGGTTCAGATTTAGATATAGCTCCCATATATATTTTTGTCCGATTTACGGACTTTAATGATGTGTTACGGTCTATAATGATGTGTGCCAAGTTTCGTGAAAATCGGTTCAGATTTAGATATAGCTCCCATATATAGTTTCGCCCGATTTTAGGTAAATGGTGCACTAAAGTTCCTAAAAATCTTTCTATTTGCACAAATTTTTGCACAGCGTACTTAATTAAGGGTAGAATGATGTGTGCTAAGTTTCGTGAAAATCGGTTCAGATTTAGATATAGCTCCCATGTATAGTTTCGCCCGATCTTAGGTAAATCGTGCCCTAAGGTCCCTAAAAATCTTTCTATTTGCACAAATTTTTGCATAGCGTACTTAGCGTACGTCATCTATTTATGCATTATATTGAAATGGCACAGATGAAATAAATTGGCTACGGTTTTTGTGCCATAACTTTTGAATTACTTGAGGCATTGTAATGGAATTTGTATCATACGAAAGCCAAGAAGTCTAACTGTTTCGAAATATATTTGAATTTTCATAAATTTTAAATGTTGTATGTACAAATATTGTATGTAAAAAAATATGTTTTAAAATTATCACTTGAACTAAGTTTTTAGAATATATTCTATAATATATAGTATATAGTTCTATAAAAAGGCAAGTATTTCCACTACAATATGAAACATATTTGCATTAATTAAGCAATTGTTTAAAACATTACAGCAAGTGGAAAACAAATCTGAAGAAAAGCCATCCGGTTCTGCCTCCCGCAAATATTTTTTTATATTTTTTAATAGCAAGCACAGAAAGTTTTTCGTTCTTTTTTTTAGAATGTTCGGTTTTTTTTTATCGATTTTATTATTTTTGATATTTTTCAAGCATGACTTTTTACAACGACTACGTGTGCCGGTCATTGCAAACTTATAAGAGTTCTAGAATTTCTCACCTTATTCTTGGAATACTCATAACCATCGGGATTAACGACGGGCACAATAAAGAATCGCAGTTTCCTCAATAATTCACGATGACGTCCATTCTTTTCCGTCAGCTGGTGAATACAATGTAATGCCACCGTTACTGTAATCCATTCACGAGCATGTGTACCGGCCTCAATGAAGACCATATTACGTCCTTTTTCCGGAGCACATAATTCCATTTCTTTTAATTCCACGTTACACGAGCTTGGTGCTGATGCGATACGATTCTCTTTGGCCTGGGCCCATAAATTACGTTCACTATTCCAATGAATTTCTATTGCTCGAATGGGACGTCTTTCATAGGATAAACCCAAGGTGTGGAGTTTGACAAATTCACAATAGCGTAAACGCAAATAATCTAAATATTGTACAATTTCACTATAGGATAAATAACTGTTTAGGACATCGGGACGGGGTAGTTCGATTAGGCGTGATATTGCCACCGTTGATTTTTTACGCTTTTCACTTTTTACACCTTTAATAGCAGCAGATAAGGCAGCAGAACGTCCACGACTTGTTCTGGTTTTCTGTAATTTTGGTAGACAACGTTGCGATGCTGATGACTGTAGACTTAAATGTTGACCAGATATTTCCAATGGCTTCTCATTCATGGCCATAATTTTGATTTTTATTTCCAAAAACAAAAATAATTTTAAAACACACGAAATTTCAATAACACACAATAAAATAATTTGGATTTTTTTAAAGTACTACTTTCAAATGCTCATTTGCTACTGTGTGCAGTTTTCCTTTTCAAAACAATTTCAAAGTATATTGCCTGTTGGCCACTAGTCGAATGAAGCCAATAAAGTTCTTAACCTAGAGCGGCATGAAGGTTTCCTTGCTCTAGGAGAAAGAATAAAAAAAGACAATCGTATAACGACGACATCGCTTGCGAAGATAACAAACTATAATAAAAAATATGCCAAACATTTTTTATGTTGAGTATGGTCGTTCCCGATTCCCTAGTCCCTAGTCCCTACTCCGTATAAAGTTTCTTTGTTGTATTCCGTCTAAATATTTTCTTTTTTTATTTCATAAATTCATAATACCAACACACGCAAACTAGCAGTGTCAACCGTTTTCTCCCACAAAAGTTGTGCCCTATGCTGCCGGCGGGTTAAGTTCCTTCTTCATATGACTTTTAGGGAATTTTGACGACGATATGCGTGTTGCGTGCTTATCTATTTATGTTAACTGCTAAAGAAAAGGAAAATGTCTTTGTTTATAGTTGTCTCAGCCATTTATATTGTTAAAAGAACATATAGGCATTCCAATTATCCATAATCGCTATATAAATTATTTATGCAGTCCCATGAAATGTAGGTGGTGGTTGGTAGGCAGTATTATAGGCGCAACTGTTGATTGTAGAACAGTGCTTCAAAACAATGAAAAAAATATACATTTTATGTGACACTGGAAGCAAAAAGGGTCGGGTATTCTGATTTCGAAGATTGTACAGATTTAATAACGTTTTCCAAAGCTAATGTGCAGAGCCTCACGAACTGCGTATATCAAATATATATATATATATATATATATATATGTTAAAATAATAAACTTTATAGGCCTTGGACACATATTGCTGAACAAATCACATTTATTGGTCTGTGGTTTTTTGAAAAATATTGTTTAATGACTATACGCTTATAAGTCAGTGGGCCTTTGAACGATATTGTTTAAAAAATCAACGATAATTGGCAAGCAAATCTTTGAAAAATATTGTATAAAAAGTCCATGTTTACTGGTCCGTGGGTCTTTGAAAATATATTTTAAACCAGTGAGCGGAGCAGTATAGTCGGGCGGGGCCGACCATACGATACCCTACACAACTACCACAGAACTCTATCATTCTGCGGATTTTTATTCCCAGCCTGGGTAATATTTCGTGGTAGTTGCACCCTCTTGCCCGACTAGTGGTCAACGGCACCTCTTCCTTACACTGACATATTTTCCGAATATTACCAATTTTCAGTACAGCCCTTCTAATTACTAGTTCATATTCCCATCACCGTGGGTTGTGTTGTGATGTTCGGCTTATAATTGTAGCCTATAGATCGAATTGAAAAAAAAAACACACACACACACAAAAAAAATACGTTTTCGGCCCAATTCATCCCAAAATTATTATCTGATCTGATATTTCTGCCTTCTAGTGTGGTAATGGTTTATAAATAATATCAGAATACGTAAGCACCTGTAAATATTTACGTGTAACTCCCACATCCGAGTACATACGACAATATAATTGGTATCAATTTAAAGGTCAACCACATATATTATCAACTTCCCGGGTCTATGTCCTTTAGGAGTAACTATATACACCATAGAATAAAAATTTTGTAATCTTTCACACAAAAGTTAGGGTCCAATTGACCAGCTAAATATTGACCGATCTTTATCAAAACAGGCATGCACATTCTTTGGTCCGATTCCCTTTTCTATGTAAAATTTCACGATGTTTGGGCCATAATTGCGGCATCTAAAGCTACCAGAAAAACCGACAAAAATTTTGTATTTGGTCCATTTCATTCCCTAAATATTAACCGATCTTTACCAAAAACAATAGGGGTCTTCATTGGCCAGAACCCATCCTACATGCAAAATTTTGTGAAGATTGGTCCATAACTGTGTATCGTGTTTACGAATTATAATGGACAGACGGACGGATGGACGTACGTCCGACTCAGCTAGTCGAGAAATGATAATCGGTATACTTAAAGGTGGGTCTATGACCAGTATTTCGCAGCGTTACAAACTCTTGGCGCTGCACAAAGCTATAATACCCTGAAAACATAGTTGTGTAGGGTATAAATAGCCTCGCTAAAAGTTCTGTGGAAAAATAGTATTTAAAATTCTACGTTTATAAATCTGTGGGTCTTCGAAAATCGTATTTAAAAATTCCACGCTATGTCCGTGGGTATTTGAAAAATAATTTTCTATGTTTGTTGTTGTTTAAAAATCCACTATTATAGGATTATATGTTATACTCTACATCGTGGGTTGTGCATTAAAAATACTGTGAATCCGGAATGCCAAATTATAGCCTTCAATATGTCGGAAACGGGATGAAACTTTGGGTCATGTGAAACATTTTTCAACCTCGGTATGCTATGCCACATTGGCAAAAGTTTCCGTGTAGTCCCATATAATGGTATCCCCCATTGTTTGGTATTTTCTCATGTGGTGTCAAATCTTCCTTTCAAAAATTGATATATATCCATTCCCATTGTAATAGCTGTAATATACCATAACGGGATATAGAAGGGTAAGACACATTTTAGAGGAAAAATTTCTATTTAGGCCCAAGCTCCAACATAGACGTCCCACTCCATTTTAGGAATTGTGAAGACTTTGACCGAATTTTCTCATAGAGTTGGTCTAACGTATTAAAAGGGTGCTATAGATATTTCCCGTTGAATTTTCGTTATGTTGAAGTTCTTACCCCCTTTTTCCAGCCTGAGTGTCTAAAATTTTGAGCATTATTGTTAAAGAGCATGGTGGGAGGTTGTCCATGCTCTTTAACCTACTTTAAGGAATATAAATATCGACGCCTCCGAACCATAGTATGCTAAGTCGACTTAGCATGTTTTAAAGTTCTTTACGTTTTTAGATACTACGGTCCTTAATTTAAATTCACTGAAATTTTGGTAATCATCGGCCAATCCAAACCAAAGTTATAAGCAAAAATGTACTTAGCATGGCACGTACGATTAAAGAAACTTCCATACTTTGAAAGCTTCTACTGAAAAACTCACTTTTCAGACTTGGCATACTATGGTTCAGAGGCGTCGATATGAGAGGATATGAAAAGTTCGATCTTAACAACATTTTACATGTTTTTAGATCTCCTAATTTAATTTATAGGAAGTTGACATATTGAGGTATTTGTAATTTTACAGATTCAATACAAATAGTTACCCAGTAGAAAGTGTCTTGCAGACAACATTAACGAATCGTGTAAGACAATGGCAATTCCTTGAAGACACTTTGCAGACAACAATGTGAAATCGTTGACGAAATTTTCACACAAGTGTCGCAGTATTCATGCACGACAACTTGGGCGACAGGGTAAGCGAAGTTGTCGTTGACGACAACTTCAGCGACTAATCTCCCTACTTTTCGTTAACGACAGATTTACTTCCTGTCGTTTACACCTCCGTCGATGACTGTATTGTCGTCAATCATACCCAATTTAAAATTCAAATAAAAATGTATGTACATATTTTTCATTTATATTTTTTTTAGCATGAAATTTATTATATAAATAAACACATTGCCTGAGAACTTGGCGTAATGACTATCTGCATTTTAACATCATCTTTAAAGAAACTACACAATTAAAATGCATTGGAATATGAAACATCGTTCAGATATCAGATAAATAAGACGTGCTATCTTGGTTAAAATAGATAAGTTTAAAAGAATATATAACTATTTATATCATTATTTAAATGCATTGTTTTACTCTTAGGATGGGGGCAAATAAATGGCAATTGGTGAAATATTGTAAGTAATATCTGAAAGATGTTTCATATTCCAATGCATTTTAATTTTGTTGTTTCTTTACAGATGCTGTTAAAAAGGAGATAATCATTACACCAAGTAATATAAGTACTCAAAATTTCATACTTCTAGCTTCAGCCGTTTCGTCTGGGCGATGATCTCACAGTCACTCTCTTATCACTAAGCTCCTTTATATATTAAGGTTATATACGGCATTTTCGAATTAATTTATTACCGAGCAAAGACCCTTAAACCGGGGTCAATGACCTTTAATCCGAATTAAGCCTTAATCCCCTCAATGGCCCTTAATCCTGAGTCAATGACCTTTAATCCGGGGTTAATAACCCTTAATTCCCTCAGTGACCCTTAATTCGGATTAAGCCTTATTCCCCTCAATGACCTTTAATCCGGGGTCAATGACCCTTAATCCCCTCAGTGACCCTTAATCCGGGGTCAATTACCCTTAATCCGGACTAAGCCTTAATCCCCTCAATGACTTTTAATCCGGGATCAATGACCCTTAATCCCCTCAATGACCCTTAATCCGGGGTCAATTACCCTTAATCCGGATTAAGCCTTAATCCCCTCAGTCACCCTTAATCCGGGGTCAATGACCCTTAATCCCCTCAATGACCCTTAATCCAGGGTCAACGAACTTTAATCCGGATTAAGCATTAATCCCCTCAGTGACCCTTAATCCGGATTAAGCCTTAATCTCCTCAATGAATTTTAATCCGGGGTCAATGACCCTTAATCTCCTCAGTGACCCTTAGTCCGGGGTCAATTACCCTTAATCCGGATTAAGCCTTAATCCCCTCAATGAATTTTAATCCGGGGTCAATGACCCTTAATCCCCTCAGTGACCCTTAATCCGGATTAAGCCTTAATCCCCCTCAATGACCTTTAATCCGGGGTCAATGAACCTTAATCCCCTCAGTGACCCTTAATCCGGGGTCAATTACCCTTAATCCGGATTAAGCCTTAATCCCCTCAATGACTTTTAATCCGGGGTCAATGACCCTTAATCCCCTCAGTGACCCTTAATCCCCTCAGTGACCCTTAATCCCCTCAATGGCCCTTAATCCGGGGTCAATTACTCTTAACCCGGGTT